AACTTGTACGTTCGCAAATTCCAATTACTTGCGATAATTGGAGAATTCCTTCGCTACAACCGGCTAAAGACACAATTTGGAGCGAGATACAGGTATGATATTTGATTATTTTTAATTATGTTGACAGTTACATCTTTAAATTAATTATACTAACATATTATATGTATGTGTATTTGTTTGCAGAGATCTTTTAATATTGATGATTGCAAGAGAAAATATTGTCTTCAATTGGCCAGAAAACGACTGAGGGGATTTAGAGCGTTTTTAACGAACAAGTTTCTTAAAGATTCTGATGGAAACTTTGTCGACTCAGAGCGTCCAAAGAAGTACGCTGATCTGATTTCAGATGAAAAATGAGAGACATTTGTTGCCAAGCGAAGAACCAAAGAATTTTTAGTAAGTACAACTTATCATGAACAATGTATAGTATATATACTTCTTCCACAAGAGTTCTGATATGACTTAAACTTGTTTTTTCAGGTTGTGAGTGGCGTAAATTGGCAACGGGCATCAAAACCCGCGTATCCATATAAAAAAGGGCGTTTGGGATATGCACGCTTAGAACAAAAAATAGTAAGTATATATAAATGCTTTAATATGATATAGTTACCAAAAATAGTAAGTATATATACTAGGATATGGATGCTTTATTATCCGTCTTAATGCGTAGTTAGAAGAGGAGAAAAGTGATGCGGCATCTCTTCTGGACCATGTTGTGTGGAAGGCTGCCCGTGTGGGAAGAGATGGAGTCGTTTAGGAAGAAGTTCAACAAGTATTTGAATTATAGGAAATATGTCTACCGATGGCGATGAACCCGTAGTTCAAATTGAGGATGAAGTTGATGAAAGTTCAGCCCTTAGTTCAAAAAGAACAAAAACTTCTACGGCATGGGAATTTTTTGAAAAGTTTGTGGACGATAAAGGACTCCCAAAGGCCAAATGCAAAAATTGTGATAAAATTTATATGTCTAGAGATGGTGGTGGCACTTCAAATTTGATAAAACATGCAATGAAATGTGTTGGAAGAGGGAATGGATCTTCTTATCCGCCACTGAACAGTATAGGGAAAAGATTTCCAAGGTAATTGTCAAACACAATTATCCTTTTACTTTTGTTGAACATGAAGGGATAGTTGACTTACTTTGTTTCTTACACCCCGATGTTAAGTCAATTACTAGAAATACTGCAAAGTCTGATGTTTTGAAGGTGTTTAGAAAAGAAAAAGAAAACCTAAAATCCTATTTGCAGTCGATTCCAGGAAAAATTTGTTTAACATCCGATCTATGGTCTGCAATAAATACAGATCAATATATGGTTTTGACTGCCCATTTTGTTAATAGGAATTGGGAATTAGAGAAAAAAGTTATATCCTTCACTCATTGTCCACCACCTCATACCGGGTTTAATTTGGCTGATAAGTTAATTTTTTTGCTAAAGGAGTGCGGTATTGAGAAAAAAATATTCACGATTACTTTAGACAACGCATCTAACAATGATGTTATGGTGAATATATTGAAGAAACATTTATTATCAGGATTAGGATTGATAGCTGAAGGTACTTATTTTCATGTTAGATGTGGAGCACACATCTTAAACTTAATTGTTCATGATGGTTTAAAGGTGATAGATGGATCTTTGGATAAAATTAGGTTGTGTGTGAAATATGTAAGAGGCTCAGAAGTTCGAAAGATAAAGTTTGCATCTTGTTTAAAGCAACTTTCAAATGTGACTTCTAAGCAAGTTCGTCAAGACTTACCTACTAGGTGGAATTCCACTTATTTGATGCTTGAGACTGCTATAGGTCAACGAGAAGCCTTTACCCTCCTAAGTGATCTTGATCCCTGTTTTGATTGTTGCTTATCAAACGAGGAGTGGGATGAGGTAAAAATCATAGTTGATTTTTTGAAGCCATTTTATGATATCACTGTGCTTTTTTCAGGTAGCACTTATCCAACCGCCAACCTCTATTTTAGTGGTGTGTGGTGAATTCATATGAAAATCAAGGAAGTTGCATGTGTTGATCATAGTGAGTTTGAGAAACAAAATCAATTATGTTGCATGACTAGAAGAATGAAGAAAAAATTTAATAAATATTGGAATTCTTATAGTTTTGTGCTATCATTTGCTGTCATCTTAGATCCTAGATATAAGTTGCAGTTTGTTGAGTGGTGCTATGTGAGGTTGTTAGGTGGTGAGGGAGTACAAGTTGCAAAGGTGATTTTTGATAAGTTGAAAGCTTTTTTTCAAGAATATATCAAGTCCTCAAATGAAGCAAGCACTTCATCTTCACAAAGGTCAATTAGAGGTAGTCCAAACATTCCCTCAAATGACTTGCAGGATTTTGGGAGTTATGAAAGTAAAATTGTGTGGACCATCAAAAGATGAGTCTGATTTGGAAATTTATTTGAATGAAAAAAAAATTGATCATGAGCAATATGCTGATTTGGATGTTTTGCAATATTGGAAAGCAAATGAGGGTAAATATCCTAAACTTTCTATATTGGCACGTGACCTTTTGAGCATTCCAATTACTACAGTTGCATCAGAATCAACATTTAGTATAGGTGGACGTATACTTGATAAGTATCGAAGCGCTCTTTTACCCGAAAATGTTGAAGCATTGTTGTGTACACATGATTGGCTTTGTGAAACTCCAGGTTAGTATCTACAATATTTTCATTTGTATTCTTTTCATTTATCTTCTTTTTTAATTAATGTATGTTTAATTGTTTTCTACTTTGATTCTCTTTTGTAGCTGCATTTGATTTTGATGGACCCGATTTTGTTGAGGAACTTTCAACCTTCTTTTCCACAACATGAGGTTACTTGTTTGAGAGTTTTTTCTTTTCCCCCAAGGTACTATTACATCATTCATACACAATCTTCATGTTAAGAACTATACACAAAATACACAAGTTTCATGTTAAGAATTATGTTTCTTCTAACTGTGCTTTTGATGAAAATTATAGCTTTTGATTTTGATGATGGCAGGATCATGATGAATGATGAATGATGAATGATGATGGCATGATCATGATGAATGATGTGAATGTGAAAAATGTTTTGAAGTGCAATTCGAGTATGAGCAAGTTATGTGATGTAGTTCTATGATGATGATGTTGCAATATCGAAATTAGTTAGAATGCAATTCGTTTTATTGTGATGCAATCAGTTACACTTGAATTAGTTTGCAGTTAACACGACACTGTTTTGAAATTGTGTGAATGAAATTCCTTTGAAGTTATGTTAGTGACTTATTATCTTGCATTTTAAACAGTTTCTCATGACGTGGAATATTTAATTTTTTTTACAATTAAGAATAACTAAAAAAATAGTTAAGAACATTTAATTTTTGTTGTGAAATTTAAATTTTTTAAAGAAATTAATTTTTTGGCTGAGAAGTTAATTTTTTTGTGAAGTTTAAATTTTTTAAAGAAATTTAAAAAATAATTGAGAATATTAATTGTTTTTATGAAATTTAATTTTGTTTTTATGAAATTTAAAAAATAATCATAATAATTTTTTTGTAAAATTTAAATTTTTTTATGAAATTTAAAAAATAATTAAGAATATTAATCTTTTTTTTTTTGTAAAATTTAAGTTTTTTTAAGAAGTTTAAAAAATAATTCAAAATATTTAAATTATATTTTTATGAAATATAAAAAATAATTAAGAATTTTTAAATTAATTTTTTGGATGGATGGATATCCATCCATTAGAAATATGTTAATGGATGGATTGGATGGATTTTATCTTTTAATAGATGGATTGAATTTGATTTTTATTAAGGGAGTTTAGTGGATTGTTAATGGATTGTTTTGATCCATCCATTAACAATCCAATCCATATCCATCCAATCCATCCATTTTGCCACCTCTATTAGAAAGTGGTACATGAGTAAGAGATGGAGCAAAAAAAACTACTTAAGACATGAAGAACTCGACATTAGGGTGAACCAGAAACGATGTATCCAAACAAGAAGAAGTATGGCAGAAGTAGTAATCTTCAAAGCTTTGAAGATGAAGAAGGATAAACGGTTTCCAAGGAGTACAAGTTCGATTGTGAGAAGGAACGAAAATTGCTTGAAAAGGCATATCAAGCTTTATATAATGTAACAAATGAAGTGAATCAACGGTGAAAATGAAAGCATATATAAGGTAAAAATCAACGACTCATATAACATCTCAAATACATAACAACAATTGAATGCGCTCGGGCATTCTAGGGAAAAACGCAACGCCCTAACATATGGACCTAGAGCCACGTGTTAGGAAACCTACGAAACGTCTTAATTATGAGATGAGCATTTAATGAAGCTCTCTGTAGGCCTTTTCCACTTCTCAACACATGATCACAATTAGACATATTAGAGCGAACTCCTTGTATCCGACCGGACTCCTTGGAAGACTTCCAATCAACCACGCCATATCAAGTCATGGGGGCAATTGTTATGGGTCGTCACCCTTAGGCCAAATAAAAGGAAGGGTCAATTTCTCCTACTGCATAAATACCACCACATGAGAAGAAAAAGATACGACTCAATTCATTATTCACTTGAGTCCTTTTTCATTCAAAAACTAATTTGAGTGTTAGTGTGTTAATCTTACAAATCTAACTTCACAACAAAGCAGTTCACACCACCACATAAAAGATCTGCACCGACGATTCTGATTCCTAACAGAACACATGTTACTCAGTGATTGTCTGAGTAAGTCAAGACATGCACTAGTGTCTAGTAAGTTAAAAAGTCATAAAGACATAAGGCCATTATTTTCTCCTCCATTAACTTCCAAAAGCAATTACTTCAATGGGTTTCAAGTCACATTCAAGAACACGTCTTTGCTTAACCAAATGGGGCCGCTATTACGTCACAAAAATAATTGTCTCTGTATATAGTTTTAATGCAAAGTTTTATTATTATTTCCCTCTCTTTCAACGACTGTAAGAAAAGTAAGACATCTCTTCTCATCAATCAAGTGACCCGTCTTTACTCTTTCAAAAATGGAAAGTTTCTTTTCACAACCAACAACTATAGTACTAGCTATAGCATTAGTGCTTCTATACAACATATGGAGGATCAAAAAACCTAGTAACAAATCAAAGGGTAAGAAACCACCACAACCATCCTATGCCTTACCTTTGATTGGTCATCTCCATTTACTAGGTAACCAAATTCCACTTGCAAGAATCTTTGCTTCTTTTTCCGATAAATATGGTCCAATCTTCGAAATCCGTTTAGGAGCATACCCTGCACTTGTTATTTCCGACCAAGAAGCAATCAAAGAATGTTTCACCACAAATGACAAAATCTTAGCTTCAAGACCAAAGTCAAGTCATGGAATCTACCTTGGTTATAACTTTGCTGGCTTTGGATTTGCACCTTATGGCGCATATTGGACTAAGCTAAGAAAATTAGCCATGCTTGAGTTACTGTCATCTCGTCGCATCGAATCGTTGAGACATGTTTACGAATCGGAAATTGATACTTTGATTAAGGATCTTTCTTTGTATGTTAAAGATGGAAAGGTTAAGGTTGTGATTAGTGAATGGTTGGAAAGGTTAACATTTAATATAATGACAAAGATGATTTGTGGGAAAAGGTATTTAGAGTATTTACAAGATGTTGATGATGTTGAAGCACATGGTAATATTGTGAAACTTATAAAAGAATTTATGCATATTTCTGGTGAGTTTGTTCCTAAGGATTTGATTCCAATTCTGGGTTGGTTTGGCTTTGAAGGAAAAGTGCTTAAGTCTATGAAAAGAGTTGCTAGAGATTTGGATATAGTTGTTGGAAGATGGGTTGAAGAACATGTTGAGAAGAGTAATGATATTAATTCAGATGAAAAACATGATTTTATGGATGTGATGCTTTCTGTGATTGAAGATGATCCTGTTTCTGGTCATAACAGTGATACCATCATCAAGGCAAATGTGATGGTATTCATTTTTTTTCTGATGAATTCTGCAATATGCTTTTCATTTGATTTTTTTTAATGTTGAATTTATTGAAACTGATTAAGACATTTCAACCACTAATTAGAAAATTAGTTGTAGTTATCCTCCAAATACACCTATGGTTTATTATTGAATAAGTCAATTTTAAATTTCAGAATCTTATGTTAGCTGGATCAGACACAACATCAATAACAATGATATGGGCCATAGCAATATTGTTGAATAATATGAATGCTTTAAAGCTTGCACAAGAGGAGATTGATCATCACATAGGTAAGAACAGAAGGGTAGAATCGTCCGACATAAAAAACCTTGTTTATTTGCAAGCAATTTTCAAAGAAACATTAAGGTTATACCCCTCAGGTCCACTGTTAGTACCACATGAAGCAACAGAAGATTGTTACATTCAAGATTATTATGTACCAAAAGGGACACGTGTGTTTGCTAATGTGTGGAAATTACATAGAGATCCCAATATTTGGTTAGAGCCTGAAAAGTTTTCACCTGAGAGATTTATTAATGAGAAGGGTGAAATTGATGATGATGGTCATCATTTTGAGTATCTTCCATTTGGATTAGGGAGAAGAGCTTGTCCAGGATATATGTTTGCTACACAGGTTAGTCTTATTACACTTGCTCGTTTGATTCATGGCTTTGATTTTGAAGTGCCAGGGGATGAAGTTGTTGATATGAAAGAAGGGTTGGGTATAACTTTGCCTAAGTTAACTCCATTGCAAGTTCTGTTGACACCGCGTTTACCCTATGAACTCTATCAATGA